AAAAATTTGGCAAAATGTTTCGATGGGTTTCGATTTCGATGCCTGTCGAAACCTCGGGGTTTTGCCCGGCAACCTTAACAAGTATCTTGTGAAATGTTTTATGTTTAATCGTTATGAGAAATATTGATAAAATTCATTTATTTGAAAAAATTCTATATTTTTAAATAAATTATAATTTAATTGTTCTAAAAGTTACGATTACGATTCGCTATTTCTTACCTTAAGTAAGATTATATCATAGAAGAATTTTATATAGAAATTTATAATTTAATTATTTTTTAATTATTTCGAAATGAATAGTCGTATCGTGTGACCAATTAATATTCATCCACCTGAAAATATGACCGGAAACCCAAAATTGGGATAAAAAAAGAACCTGACCTATATCATCATTTTAATTTATATTAAATCTTAATTGTATTGTCATCGAAATAAAAAGTTAAGTAAGTATATATTACCTTCATTATTCTCATCCTTTTCAAGATATGAGGTGATAAGAGACGAATTAATAGGTTTTATCAAATTTTTAAATGTAAATGCTCTGCTGTATATATAGAATCAGGATTCGTTTTGCGTGAAATTGAAATATTTTTATCTCTTTATCTGTCTCTTCAAATACTTCTTTTATTTCTTTTCCATAAATATTCATATTCTCATATTCAACAATAGAACCATATCAAAAATCTATATACTCATCAACTCAGGGCTTGTTGTCTTTGAATTGTATATGCATCCATACATCTATAAGCCAGTTTCTTATTAAATGAAGTTCCTTTTCCAAACTATGGACGAAGTTCATAAATTGAATGAATGAATGATCTATTTGTAAGGTGAACTTTCATTGCATGATTTTTTTTTTTTGAGTGATGGGAATAATTTGGTTTCTTATTTACTATTTTTTGCTTTCTTTTAAAAAAAAATTTTTGATTCAATTTAATTAATTTAGTAAATGAGATCCACAGAAATAATTAAATAAACAAAAAAATATATATTTTGCGACTGGCGAATTTTTTTTTTTAAGACCAAGTTGCTGAGCTATGAATTTAGATTAACAAAAAAAAAAAATGCATATTTTTACATAAACATTTAAAATACCGGATGACCCACTTTTTCTTGAAAAGGAATGATAAATAAGAAAAAAGAGATGCGATAGATGAATAAATGATCTCATTAAATTTTATAAACTCTCTCTCTTATTGCATTTTATGAATAATTAGCCGCAACCTAACCCAGATCTGTTTAAATTAGTTAACAAATATAAAACCGGTTGCGAAGATCGGTTTCAACCGGATTTGTAAAAATGAACGGTTCCAATATAGTTGCTTGGCAAAACTCATTTTAGCAATGTCGAAACCCTATATTTCGACGTATTTGTTAATAAGTATGTAATATAGTTTTGACTTTTGACGGGATTTTATTATGGTATCGAGTTTCGACGGGTTTGCCAATAAGATTTTATTACAGTTTTGCCAATGACCCCGTCGAAACCAGAGAGTTTTGCCAGGCAACTATAGGTTCCAAACTCTAGTAGTTCATTTGTCTTTTCATCCAAATTATGTTCAGTGTTGTCATGTATCAAAATTGAGTTACCTGACATTCTTGTAAATGAAAATCTCTTTTGATTCAGGTTCTATTTCTGCATGTTTTTTTTGTTTTTTTTTTTGTTTTACCTTTATTTTTCTTAGAATTTTTATTTTTTTTTGTTTTACTGCGTAGTTCTCGTGATGTATTATGGCTCATATTTTATTTGGTTTATTTTTTTTAAATGCAAACGTTAGATGTAAAACAAATGCACCATTTTGCTTTATTTATCTAATCAATAAGAAAAGAGATCCAAACCATATCCGGATATCAGATATCCGCTAAAAACAGATAACGGATCTAGCCTAAAATTATAATTAACGCAGTATACGATTACGTTATCACATATCACTGCATATTCGGAGAATATTTTCCGTTGAACTAAATTTGGTCATGATAATTCCTTTTTTACAAAATTTATATTTTTTTCTAAAAAAAAATAAAAATAAAAATGTATACAAATAGCCATGAAAATGAAGCCCAATTCGACAAATTAATTGTTTCAAATAATAATTGTTCTTATTGCAATAAACCATTTGTTGAGAAATTATGGTGTAAAGAATGTGACCCTGGGTGTATGATTGAAGGATGGACTAGTGGAAATTCTGAAATTGATAAATTCATAAAAGAAGCAATATATAAAGCGAGAAATGAAAAATATCTAGAATTTCTTGAATGGGTGCCTTTTGATAGATTCACTGACATAAAAGAAATTGGTGAAGGAGGATTTGCCAAAGTGTATTCTGCGACATGGATCGATGGTAATTCGGTATTTTATAAGCAAAATGACGGAAGTTGGAAAAAGAATGATCCAGAACCTATGAAGGTTGCTTTAAAAAGGTTAAATGGATCACGGGATATGTCAGCTAAATATTTTAATGAGTTATATCACTTTATATTTGATATGAATTAATAAGAATATTCTTCTAATTTGCTCTTAAATTTTTATCATAAAAAATAGCTTAAAACACATTGGGATATATATCAAACAGGTGATGCATTAAAATTTTATGGGATAACTAAGGATCCAGAAACCAAAGATTTTATTATGATCGTACAATTTGCATCTAATGGAAATTTGAGAAGTTATCTTTCAAATAATTTTAACAACTTGTTATGGGAAGATAAAATTATTAATTTAAAATACATAATGCTTGATATTAATAATTTACATTATTTAGGATATTGTCATAAGGATTTTCATAGTGGAAATATCTTGCAAGATCAAAGTGTTTATATTTCAGACTTTGGATTAACAGGACCAGCAGATGAACAAAAATCGGATGATAAAATATATGGAGTATTACCATATATCGCTCCAGAAGTTTTGAATGGTGGTTTATGTACTTTAGCTTCTGATATCTACAGTTTTGGTGTAATCATGGCTGAATTATCAACTGGAAACCCTCCATTTTATAATAGGAAACATGATTTTGAATTATCCATAGATGTTTGTAATGGACTTCGTCCAGAATTTGAAAAAAGAACCCCTGAATTTTACAAGAAATTGTCTTATAGATGTATGAATGCAAATCCAAATGAAAGACCAAAAGCCAATGAATTATTTGATACAATGAATTTTTGGTATGAATCTACAGTTGAATATGAGAAGTATAAAGATATCAAAAAATATGGATATTATGGAAAAGAAATAAAGAAAGCATTTGAAGAGGCAGATAAAGAGATACCAAATATTTCAATTTCACGCAAAACGAATCCTGATGCTATATATACAAGTAGATCATTTACATTTAAAAATTTGACAAAGCCTATTAATTCGTCTCTTATCACCTCATATCTTGAAAAGGATGAGAATAATGAAGGTAATATTTACTTGGCTTTTTATTTGACAACGAAATATTAATTTCAATTCATTTTAACAGAATTTCAAGATTCTCAATTAATTGAATTAGGAATTTTTAACTCATTACAATTAAGAGTAATACAGTATGTCATATCGATATTTAATGAACTGCAATTGAAATATTTAACTAATATTGATTTACATATAATTGTAGACGTCAGTAATTGAAGTTTATTATGTACCGATATAATGATTTTGAAGCAAATAACCTTTTAACTAATATTTTTGAAACAGCAAGATATTTTATCTAGTAGTAATTAATTTAAATGTAATTTTAACCATTTTATGAGAAATTTAACTACTTTTTCAGATATACCTAATAAATGTTTAATTTAATAAAACATTATGTTCTAAATTTCCTTGCATCGAGTAAGCAACCAATTTAACCCATGAACTTGTTATCCAATTTGAGGAGAAATTTTCTTGGTTTATTCATAAAGCTTACATCATAGAGATGTTAAAGTTCACGTAAATAATTGTGACCGATATAAGTCAGTATCTTTTTTATTTAATTAAAATGTTTGCTGTTGGATATGCGGCCAAGTAATAGAATGAATAAGTGCGAACCAAACTTTAAAATATCCAATTGGCAATTAATGTGATTTTTTGGAGAAATTAAATGATGACATCAAAACAAGGAAACATATAAAAATATGCAAGAAATTAATGTAAATTCACTTTCATACTCAAGCATCCCTACTAATTTTCAAGCATAACCTAAATTCATAGGACATTGACCACTAAGCTACATTACGGCGTGAAATAAAGATGGTCCCCATAATTATTTTCAAATTTCAATTGAGTTGCAACTTAATTGCGCTATATAAGGAAATTTAATTGCGCCACAAGTTGCAACTCAATTGCGCCATTTTTTTTAATTGCGGTGACCATCTTTAGCGTGAAACCTTCTCTCGAAGCTCGGCTTTTCTCATCACGTGCATAGGAAAAAAAAACCTATTGGCCCGTACTGAATTGTAATAGCATTTAATTCTTAGGACAATTCAAATTTCTCCTAGAAAAATTTTTCGGTTATGAAGATTATGTCCGTGATTGAATATTGTCATTCTTACGAATTTTATGCATTGGAATTGTGCATTAGTGTAATGCACAAAAAATTCTGGACGTTTTGTTGAAAGTGCTTAAAAATGACGACTGGGAAAAATTTCAATCTAAAATGTATTTACAAAAAAAAATTAATAATTTGCTAGTTTTAATATACCTACTAGCAGTCGTATTTTTGATTAATTATTTTTTAGTTTACTCTTATAACATTAATGTTATAACAATGCATCACCGAACTAGTGGGAGCACTAGTTCGATTATATTGATTTATATCGAATCTTATCGATTTCTTTATGTAAGGACGGATGTCCCGATATTTAGATATAAGAACTTTTCTGTAAAAAAATTTTGAACAGGCTAACTTTAACTGTCTTAACCAGTTCCAACCTATAATCAAGCGAAGAAATATAGGTCTTATTTATTCAAGAAGAAAGAAACAAAATGCGGGATGACACGTTTTTCAACATGTTTCTCGATGGAATTTGATTATAAAAATTTTTCAGTGGACTGACCGGTTTTCAGTTTGTGTTTGTTTGCGTTAACAATTATATTATAAATAGACAAGTTATTTTCATATTGAACATTTTCTGTAATCCGTTATTTATGATCAATTTTCAACTTTTCGGACTAACATATTTAGTACAAAATAAAAATCAATAAATCGTGCTATCGTTTAGTTAAAAAAAAATTTTTTTTTTTGTTTAATATTACAATTATTTATTTTAAAATCTTTGGAAGATTGCTCATTTTCTATCAACATCCCATTTAAATTCCAAGAATACATTTAAACCGACCATAAATTTTTATTATTTGCAATTGTAAAAATCCAGGTTCGTAAAGTTTTAGTAAGTAAGAAAATTCTATATTTATCAAACTTTTTTCTGACGGCTATTAAGGTAGGCTTTATGTATTTATATTATGAAATTTTGAATAAATCAAGAAATTTCTCCTCGAATTGTATAGCAAGATCATGGTTAAATAGTTTCTTACTCATATTTTGATCATCATACGTAAGGTATATATAATTTTAATAAAAAAAAAAAAAAAAAAAGGTACTAAATAATATATATTATTCTCTATAACTTTTGAGAAATTACTTAAAGCTAATACATAAAATGGTTAAAATTACATTTAAAACTAATATTAAATGTAATTCTGCTTCAACAATATTAATTCAAGTTTACATCATCATATCGATACATAATAAGCTGAAGTTAAAAGTTAATATAATAAACTTCAATTATTGACGTCTATCATTATAAATAAATCAATATTAGTTCATTTTAAATTGCAATTATAAATATCGATATTTTATATTACCTCTTAATTCTAATGAGCTAGAAATTCCTAATTCAATTAATTGAGAATCTTGAAATTCTGTTAAAATGCATTGAAATTAATATTTCGTTATCAAATAAATATATTCTCATCCTTTTCAAGATATGAGGTGATAAGAGACGAATTAATAGGTTTTGTCAAATTTTTAAATGTAAATGATCTACTTGTATATATAGCATCAGGATTCGTTTTGCGTGAAATTGAAATATTTGGTATCTCTTTATCTGCCTCTTCAAATGCTTTCTTTATTTCTTTTCCATAATATCCATATTTTTTGATATCTTTATACTTCTCATATTCAACTGTAGATTCATACCAAAAATTCATTGTATCAAATAATTCATTGGCTTTTGGTCTTTCATTTTGATAAGCCAATTTCTTGTAAAATTCAGAGGTTCCTTTTCCAAATTCTGGACGAAGTCCATTACAAATATCCAAGGCTAAAGATACGTCATGCTTTCTGTCATCAAAAAAGGATTTCCAGTTGACAATTCAGCCATAATTATACTATATTCTCCATTCAAGACTTCTGGAGCGATATACGGTAATACTCCATATATTTTATTATCCGATTTTTGCTGGTCCCGATAACCCAAAGTCTGAAATTTATCTTGCAAAATATTTCCACTATGAAGTTCCTTATGACAATATCCTATATTATTTAAGATACGAACGTTATATATTACATAATATAATTTACTAATTTTATCCTCTCATAAAAAGTTGTTAAAATTAATTGAAAGATAACTTCC